CTGGCTGGCAATACAGAATCTGCCTACGTGCTTCGATTCCACGATGATGCCACGGAATGCTGGCTGCTTGTTCTTACGCACGAGCGGTCCGGGCACTTCGTGAAATGCAACGCAGATGCTGGCGTGCTCGCTGTCACCTACCCGTTGGAAGAGGTATCGTCACTGCATCTATTCGCCCGCTTTTATGGTGCCTGTTGCGAGGGAGTCGAGGGAGGGGACAAACAAGTAATTAAGACATTCGGAACGACTCTGAACTGGGACCAGGTGCGATTGCAGGGGGAAGCGTTGGATGGTTGTAAAGCAGTAGAGGGCATAGAGGATGTGCTGTTCGAGTTAAACGATTCTCCACCTACCCCGAGGAAGAAACCCAAAAAGGAAACTACAAAGACTCAGGACGACGATGGTGTGCTACCGATTGAAGCTGCACAGGCTGCGTCCTGGGATCAAATCCATGAAGGCAAAATGGGGAGGTCCTGGGTCCTGGGATCCTGGGATCAAAACCATGAGCGCATAATGAGTGCCGGGTTGTTACTGGGGTAGGGTAGGGTGTCTAGTGCGGATACGTGGGTGAGTTCGCAAGGGGAGGGAGCTTGCGACGCAGGGAGTCCTCGGCTATGACAAGTCTGACAACTTGGAGTATGAACTCGAGTGCCTGTTGGAGGAACTCGGAGGTAGAGACGTTGCTGAGGACGTCGGCGGGCTCATTGATGATGCCGACGTCTTGCTGGGAAAAACAGAAACTGAGCGTCGTGACGCGCGCGAGACAGCAGCAGGCGCGGCTGCCTTGGGCGATGCTGGTTTCTCTGCAGTGCTACAAGAGCTCCTCGGCGAAGAACAGCAGGGTATGATGTCAGACGCGAGTATCGTTATGGATGCAGGGATCGCCAAGGATCTCCACGCTGCTGCCATAGAGACTGGCTGCTCGTCTTCTGGCGCTTCGTCTTCTTCTGCAGGTGTTCCCCGAGTTCCTGCGCATGTTCATCCAACTCCTCTGAGTGATAACGTGGTCGCTACTCATCGCCAGTGGCGTGCGCAAGTGGAGGAGTCACTTGCTGCTCTGCAGGGTGCTCGCGAAGCATGTATTCACAATGAGGTTGGCGAGAGAAATGAGGTGTCACTCGTTGAGGTCGAGTGGGACGACGATACATACATCGAGTACGTGAACTGGTCCAATCCGGTTACAAGAGTCGGCCAGAAGGTTCGTGTCGACAACGAGGGTTGCTTGATATTTTCTATGCAGGTTGGCAAGTACGCCCAACCATTTCGGGATTACAGCCATTGCCGCGTGATCCACCCAGCCTGCGGTGTACGTATGCACAGAGTTCTCGGGGAAGGGAAGTGTTAGCTTCGTTGGATTGAATGTAGCAAGTAGCAGTGCTAGCAAGTCACCCATCCCCTCCATATCTCATCCTCTGCCAATGCTGATCTCGAGTGTTGCGTCTGGCTTGCGCCCTCGATCCCACCTTGCGGCGGTGCAGGTTCGCAGAACTATCGGGCGGCCTGAAGTTCCAGGACTTGTGCGGCGCTTGGAGTCTGTGGCTGTCAGCTCGGCGAAGGCTGCCGAGCCCATTCACGCTTGCTACATCTGTGGCAACAGTGGCACAGGTCTGTTCACATGTTGTATATGTTTGTTGACTCTTCATCGGTCGTGCCTTCAAGAGTGTGCAGGTGCTCTGCAATCGCTCGACCTCCCAGCTCGGCCTGGCATGCCGCTCCCTTCTTCAATTTTCAATGCTGTTCAGAGCGGTGACTGCACGTGCTCCTTGTGCTCGCACGTGCTTGAAGGGTGCACTCAGTGATTAATTCGTTTGCGATGATGCGTTGATGACTTCAATTTGTTGCTTTTGTTGCTGATGTACGTGTGCGCTAAGTGCTCGATTGGGGGCGGTTGTGCTCGGGACTTTGGACTCAACTGGCGGGCTGGTGCACAATAACATGCATTCGAAGAATGCCGATAGAAATGTATCTTAGGTATTTACCCTTCATCTCGTCCACCTCGAGCCAGACTGGGATCCATGCTTGAGCCCTTGAGCCAATCTGATTACGGACCCCTCATGTTCCCTCCCTCCTTCCCCATCCTCTACCGTACCTTCCCAATCCCAGAGAAGTAGCAAAAGCAGTGTCTGCGGCGCTCCTTGTTCCCGAGTCGTGGACCCCTGACAGTCTGGAGTCTGGGGGGCGCTTCGATAAGTGCGCTTCGCTTGGCGGCCCACCATGGCCTCGTAGGCCCGCTGGGCGTGCAAGCGCTGCTTCGGGGGCGGTCGGGGGGGCACCATCGCCATCACCACCAATCAGCATGAGTCATGATCATCATGGCGATCATCATCATCACCATGTGTAACGCCCCCAAACCGTCCAGACCATGAGAGTGGTCAATGGGTGTAGTCAGGGAATAGGAAGAGGAAGATGAGAAGAGGGAGGAGGAAGATGAGGAGGATGAGGCCACGTGTTGGGCGTGATCACAGAGAGTCAGGACCACCAAGGACGGGGTCGGGACACAATCCAAACACCTCGATGTGTTAGCCTAATGGTGGGGTCGGGACCAAGTCCCGCGACGCATCAGGGGATCAGGACCAAGTCCCGACGCGCATCAGGGGGTAAGGATCTGGTCCCGACCATCACCGATGCGTCGGGACCTGGTCCCGACCGTCTGGTGGAGGGTCGGGACCTGGTCCCGACCATCTTGGGTGGGGGTAGGGAGCTGGTCCCGACCGTCTTGGGTGGGGTCGGGACCTGGTCCCGACCGTCCCAAGGGGTAGGGAGCTGGTCCCGACCATCTTGGGTGAAGGTCGGGAGCTGGTCCCGACCGTCTTGATGGGGTCGGGACCTGGTCCCGACCGTCCGGGGGGGGGGTAGGGAGCTGGTCCCGACCGTCTTGGTCGGGGTCGGGACCTGGTCCCGACCATCTTCGGGGGGTCGGGACCTGGTCCCGACCGTCTTGGGTGGGGGTGGGGACCTGGTCCCGACCATCTCGGGTGGGGGTCGGGACATGGTCCCGACCGTCCTGGGGGGTAGGGAGCTGATCCCGACCATCTTGGGTGGGGGTCGGGAGCTGGTCCCGACCGTCTTGAGGGGGTAGGGAGCTGGTCCCGACCATCTTGGGTGGGGGTCGGGACACGGTCCCGACCGTCTTGGTGGGGGTCGGGAGTTGGTCCCGACCGTTCCTGGGGGTCAGGACATGATCCCGACCGTCCTGTGTTGGTCGGGACTAAGTCCCGACCTTCCTGTGGCGGTAGGGACCTGGTCCCGACTCTCTTGGGATGCTAGGAACTAAGTCCTGACCAATCTAGCCGAAGGTCAGGGCAGCACCCTGAACGTGTCCGTTGTTAGCCATTTACCTCAAGCGTTTTCGGGGACCTCGCTCTGTTTCTCCTGGTCAACTTGCAACCATGTCTGACGAGCTGGGCGTCTCTGAGCCAGCGATGGTTGCGGGCATCGCAGTCGAACCCTTCGCTCCCTGCCCGCACATTGATCAGCGTCTGCCTCATCTAGAAGGCGCAGCCCGCCTGGACTACGTCATGAACAACTACGTGCTGTCGCCAAGCGCCAGTCTGAGGGTGTGGGACACCAGCAGCGGCGGTGGAAGTTCAGAGGAACCTCGTGTGCGCGTTAAGCGCTGGCATGGGAACAGCAGAGTCCAGAAGTCAGTGGTCGCCCGCTACGCTCGCGGCATCTTGAAGCATGGCATCCAAGTCGCGTTTCGCGGGCGCCTCTGGCACATGTGCTCACCCATTGCCGTCGGGTCCGCAGTTGAGCCAGATTCTGAACTGGTGGGCGGTGGGACTATGGTCGAGGCGGCTGTGGTTGCCTACAAAATGAGCAAGGACAACAAGCATGTGCAGTGGGTCGTCGAGCATGGCATTCCGGACACAATTTTGCTAAAGACAGGAACGCCTGACGATGTACTCCGGTGGATCAAGCACCAGGCCAACCAGTTCCACCAGGGGTCCGAGATGACAATCATCGAGCTCTACGACGAGTGCATCGCAGTGTTCTTGGGCTGGGAGATGTACAGGAATGAGCACGGCATAACCAAGAACAGCTGCCCCAAGAAGGGCCCGCTTCGATACGAGAAGCAACGCGAGACCTACGTCATCACGCAACACAGCGATTTCTTCGGCGAGTGCAAGTGGCAACAGTTCGACAATTGCAAGGTTTTCCAAGCTGAGCTTGAACGATTCGGAATTTACAACGAGTACAAAACGACGGTTGAGAACAAGATGGATTTTGCGGACAATCGAGTAGATAATTTCAAAATCATCAAGGAGAACTTCGAAATCCAGGACTTCGTCAAGACCAACTTCGAAGGCGCGATGGACACGCGCGTGTTCGGCATCACTCTGCTTGAAATCCTGAAGTTCGCGGTCCCGCTGCTCGAGAACGCCGAGGACTTCCTGAAGCCTGACGTGGACGTTCGCTTGGAAGCGCCGTGGGTTTTCCAGGCAGCCAAGGACAGGGTCAAGCTGGAGTGGTTGAAGGCGCCGATGGGCGGATCAGTGGTGTTCGAGAAGGGCAACAAACGGACCGGCGGCAAGCGCACAGCCACGGCTGCGGGGCTTGATACTGTGCCAGAGGACATGGAGATCACGCCGCGCGAGCAGAAAGAGCCACAGGAGTCACAGGAGCCGCAGGAGCCAGCACCAGGACCAGGGGCTTGTTTTCCACCCCCACCACCATATGTTGGAGGGGGATGAGGAGGATGAGGAGGAGGAAGAGGCTGAGGAGGAGGGAGGAGGAAGGAGGAGGAGGAGGAGGAGAAGGAGGAGGAGGGGGAGGAGGAGGAGGGTAACAACACTCTGGCAGTGCTGCCACCATGTTTCTATTTCAATAGAACCATGTTGGGAAGGAGGAGGAGGAGGAGGGGGAGGAGGAGGAGGAGGAGGACTCCCTCCCCCTCCAACTTATGGTAGTGGTGGTGGAAAACACGCCCATCAAGGCAGGGGCAAGGGCAGGGGCCGTGGCCGCAGGGGCAGGGGCGGCAAGGGCCGCGGCGGTCGGAGTCGAAGCGACGACACGGTGTCTCAGTCAGACAGCGAATCATCCTGGGTGGTGTCAGTGCAGACGGCGGACAAGACTGTGAATCGCGAGAAGTACTTTTTGGATGATCTGGTCGGTGTGATTTGGGGCCCCGTGAAGAACCTGCGCCGCACCCAGATCATCTGGCCAGAGCTCGCGAAAACGATGCACCAGGGGCTGACCTTTCTTTGGACCGGCGAGGTCAAGGTGAACGGCGTGCCCTTCAACAAGTGGAGCAAGCTTCGCTTGGAACTACGGGCCAGTGTTGCACGGAGCCACTCCCACCTCTTCGGAAATCTCGATGGGGCATCGTCGGAGCAGCTCGCCGATCAAGTTATCACGGATCTGGCAAATGCCGAAGCGACGGAGGGGGCCGACAATAAAGCCAAGGCCGCCGCAGCAGATCCCGCCGACGACGACGGTGCAGGTGTAAGCCTGTCGCAAGCTAACCTTCAGAAGCTCGGCAAGGACCGCGACTGCGTCATGGGCATCGTTTCCTTCATGCAGCAGACGCCGCTGGAGACGCCGCCCCGCTTCCACGTCAATTTCACCGCGCTCCTTCAGGACGTCACGAAGTGGGACCAGAACATGTGCCTGAAAGCGATCATGACTAAGATCGAACCCCTGATGGTCAAGCTGATCCCCTTCGAGTTCATCGACTTCGCCGTGCTCACGAGCACCGTTGCTCTGGAGAATAATGAGAATATCGACGACGTGTCTTTCGGCATCTTCGATACAGAGGAGAAGGCGCAGAAGTTTCGCGCCCTTCGTACCAACTACATCACGGAGCTGCTGACTGCTGGTAAGACTCATTTCAAGCTTGGCCTGGCAAAACTGGAACCAATGATTCTCACTAGGCACTTCGACACCCTGGTTGACTACGACCTCATGACAGATGCAGAGAACTGGACTTTGTTTTGGGAAAGCGTGGTCGAACACTCCGAGGCGCTGAAGAACAACAAGACATCGGTCGCCCAGATCGCCCGGAACGTCATCGAGATTGCGATGGAGGTGGAGGCGAAGGCTGACGCTATAGCGGCACCTGCGGAGCCGCCGGATGAGTCCAAGGCGTCGGCGGCGGCGCCAGCCGCCGCGGCGGCGGCTGCGCAGGCAGAGAAGAGCGGCCAGAAGGACGGCAACAGCGGCGACCAGCAGCAGGACGGCAACAGCGGCGAGAAGCAGGAGGGCGGCAAGAAGACCAAGGACGGCAAGAGCGACGGCGGCGAGGGTGCGGCGGCGGAACCGGCCCGTGCCCTCAAGGAAATTGCGACGATGTTTGTGAAGGTCGATTCGTCGACTCCGAGTGCTGCTGTGCTCGAGGGCTTCGAGAAGCAGTTGGAGGGCTACCTGTGGATGACTTATGCTTCTAGCCTGGGGGCGGCCCCGCGCATGAAGGGCATGAGCGTTGTTTACGCCAAGCCGTATGACAAGCGACCCCGTCTTGTCGCGAAGACGGTGCTCGCCGATAACATTTGCTTCCCCTTCCTTGGCAGGGTTACCCGAGTCCCCGCCAAAGGCAGCCTGCAGATCTGCGAGGCATGGGGCGTGAAGTTCTACGTCGACGGTACGAACCACCAGACCTTCACAAGCGACAACTTCGCACCAGCATGGATGACGACGCTGACCGACGCCAAGGGGGCAACGTCTGCAACGATGAGCCTGCACAGGGAGGAAGTGGCTTGGCGATTCACATACATCCCATTCGGCACCAAGGAAACCCAGAAGGAGGTCCGCCTCACCATCTTCTACCTGTTGCCGTCGTCTAAGGTCGTCGGCGCTAAGGAGGTCGAGCTGAGCCGCGGCCCCATCATCGAGGCGGTGACGGCCGCGCAGGTGACGGAATTCCAGAACGCCAGCAAGCGGACCCCGAAGGAGAAGACCACGCGCCAGCAGATCATGTCCATGCCGCAGTGGAAGGCCTGCAAGCACGTGTTCCTCTAAAGCTTGATCGGCTCATCTGGCCAGGCCAGACAGCCAGGAGTGATGAGGGGGGCGATGAGGAGGAGAGGAGGACGAGGAAGTTCGGAAGAGGAGGGCGAGGAGGAGCAAGAGGAGGAAGATGAGGGCGAGCAGTAACTCAATCACTCCTGGACTGGGCAGAATTCAAGACCACGCTATTCGCAGCAGAGCGCTTTTAAATGCGCCTTCTTCCCATCATTTTGGCGACCGCCCAGAGGTGCCCTTGGATCCTTTAATTTTTGAGCGTGTGTGTGTGTGCGTCCATGGCTTTGTAAGCCAGGGGCTTGCGACGCCCGCTGGGGCGCTGGGGGCACCGCGGTCGATAGTTGCCCGTATGTGTATTTCTTTCCGCATACTTGGGTCCAACAGGGCCTGGAGCTAGGACGCACTGCAGTGCGAAGTCAGTTGCATGTTGCATGCGGGTGCGCGGCCACATCAGTCAGAGAGATCTTCTAACGAGCGCGAGCGTTGAAGACAAGGTCGCCCCCAGGGGCGCGGAGACAATGGCGCTTCACGCGCCCCAAGGGGGCGGCGCTAAAGCACGGCGGCACGAATATACGTAACCAATCCATCCTCCCTGTTAAAGCTGATCGCATCCCGTCCTCTGTGAGTCTGCGAGTGTTGGGCGCAAAGATAAACGCGCTTCACGCGCTCCCAAGGGGTCCTTGGAAGAAACGTAACCAATACATCCTCCCTGTCAACACTCATCGCATTCCGTCCTCTGTGACACTGTGTTGGTTGGTTGGTTTCTTTAACTGCAGCCGTTGGCTTCAAGGTTTGCGCTATGTTCGCGCCACAGAGGCCACACAGCATCCCGGTTGTGCAATCCTTGCGAGACTCCTTCCGATGGGCTGAGCATGGCCTCGCAGTGGTTTTGGAGCGCAGCGGTGTTTCGATCGAGAGGCTAGGTTCACATCTGCTGGGAGCGTTGCAAGTATGTACTCTGAGTACAGCCTGCTCGGGGATTGGGGGCGCAGAGGTTGCGATGTCTTTCCTGTCTAGCTGTATCCAGCGCTTTGCTGGGCATCCAATCCAGACGCCCATTGAGCCTCAGACCACCTTTGCCATCGAATGGTGCGCAAAGAATCAGTATGAGTTGGTGATGCTAGACCCTCCCCCGACCTGCCTTTTTGGCGACATTACTCAGATTCTGAACCCCACTGTGTCGGACACTCTCACTTCTTGTATCAATCGGATGCACATTGACGACCTGGTCAGAGTCATAAAAACCAAAGGGTTGGTTCTCAATAAAGGCGAATGCCTTATTCATGAGAGGAGTTGTTCTTGCCGCCGGTCGCAGATACATGTGGAGACATAAGCAAACGCCCACCCACTCCAGCCCCCCAGTCCTCCCCAGGCCCTCCCCTATTTTGTCGGTCGGTGCGGGTGGTACAACTGGGTTGGGCGGTCTCTCCTCCTTCGAGGTGGCTGGCACGCCATGTCCAATGTGGTCTCGACAGCGTAGAAGAAGCAGTTCAATGCTGGATTTCAAGACCAGGCAGGATTTCTTGGTTTTTGTATGTTGGGCGGCTCAGAGGCTTCTACTCCAAGAGGATCTGGTCGTTCACGAAAACGTCAAGGATTTCCCAATATGGCTTTTGGAAACGATATTCGCTTCAGTGTATGTAGTAAGTACGGCTATATTAGATGTCGCCAACATGGGTTTTCCTGTGAACAGGGAGCGTAGGGTAACCATCATGATCCATAAACGTCTGATTGCAGATTATTTGCCCAGAACAATTTCCCAGTGGACATGGGCTGAATTTGCACAGTGGGTCGCCCGAGAATGTGGCATCGACTTCAGAGCTTTCTTGCTGGCGTCTTCAGATGAGCTCGAGTCCGAGCTTGCATGGGCCTCTTCGAGAAGATCATCTCGGGCCTATACCCTGCCCGTGGAGGCGCGGACCTTCGAAGGAAGCCTCAGTGACTTTGAGATCGGGAACTTACACGCTTATATCCGAAATGGGTGCGAGGGCGCATGCATTCTAGACCAAAACCCTGATTTCCATAGCCACACTACTGGGTCTGGGCCAAACTTATTCACCATTGTGAAATCGTCCACCTCGATCATTTACTGCGTGCGGGAGCATCGCTGGTTTACACCTCTGGAGGCGATATTGTCAATGGGATTCCCTGTCTATCCGCAGTTCGCAGATCTTGGAGGGGAGGGAAGGGAGTCAGGGGAGTTTCATTGTTCAGACGCTTGTAGATTGTAATGGGAAGTGGGGAGGGAGGCTCGACGTCTTTTTCGAGGAGGCGCGAGGCCTTTGACTTGCCCGCCCGGGCGAGGAAGGCGGTCCTAGAGCAAGCAGGGAATTCATTCAATCCTTGCATTGTTGGGTTTGCAATATTCTTTTTCATGGTGCGGCACTGCCCGTGGACCCCCGAAGCAGGCGAACCTTCGTCAGTCGTTCCACAAGCGTTGGTTCGGGCTGCTGCGATCAGTAGTCGCAGAGTCGCCAGGAGACTGTCATAGCGAGCGCATGTCATTGCACGTACAATCTCGGTGCATTGCGAATGAAGCATTGAGCCGTCCTACAGTGGAGGAGGAGGAGGAGAAGGAGGAGATGGAGGAGGAGGAGAAGGAGGAGAAGGAGGAGAAGGAGGATGAGGTGAACTATCAATTTGCGCTGCCGCGCGAACCCGCCAATGGAAGTTCTAAGCCCCCCCCCCCTTGATAAATGCATCTCCAACTGGCGATAACATGATATACAACCCACTGCACCATGATAAACTCACTCAACCCACTTGCCAAATACTTAAAATGACTCCGAGCAGACTGCCCAGTTGATCATTTATATCATTGTCGGTGTGAGGTTTTTTCTATAATATACCAACACACGATCGCCCTGTTGTATTAAATAAAGAAAACGCGGCGAACGCAATATCAATTACTAACGTCGCCGCGGCGTGCAAGTACAATACTACCGCGTTGCTGAAGTGTCGCGTAACATAACATAGCCTCCCACGGATGTCCAGGAGGACCTGTGCGTGAGAGGTCGGGACAGAACGTGTCTGTCCCCACGGTCCTTAAGGAGCTCCTGACAGAAGCGCGGGGGGGTCATCAAAGACCTGGGGACCTTGATCCCCAGATGGGGTCGGAGTAGATGGGGTCGGAGGAGCGCGCCGCATCGCCGATGCATCGGCGATGCGGCTCGATGTGTAGCCCGATTCCCTCCACGCCGACGTCGCCAGTGCATCGCCCACGTCGGCGATGCATCGCCGGCGCATCGGCGATGCATCGCCGATGCGCCGCCGAGGTATCGGCGATGCGGCGCGATCCTCCGACCCCATCTACTCCGACCCCAACTAGGAGGCCTCTACTTTCGTCGTCCACCTTTTCCTCGGCCCACGCCTCATGGCGCCAGCATCGCAGAGCGACTGTCGCTCGGAGTGCGACAGGATGGGCCCGGAGAGTCCTGGAGCACTTCGTTCCGGATGTCGAGGTGGATTCCGTGCGGATCTTGTCTTGGTCAGGAATGGAGACCAAAAAACATCCGCGCGAAACTTCACTTTGTTTTTCGCGCGCCGCTTCACGCAAAAGCCCACGCAGAAATCCATGCAGAAATCTGCTGCAGCACACCTGCGAGGCCGGTGCAATGCCATGTCCAAGCGAGGGCCAGGGCGAGCGCAGGCAGGTCGAGGCTTGCGCGCATGCTGGCGCCAGGGATGGGCCCCTTCGCCCCCGGCGCGCCCGCGGCTGCTGCCGCCGCCGCCGCCGCCGACGACGACGAGCCGGTCCCCCCTGGGTGGGTATCGCTCCTGCTCCTCCTGCGTGCTCTCTGGCGCTGGTGCTGGTCCTCGGAGGAGGATCGGGAGCAGCGCCAGGTTCCCGGCCACCGACTTCCAAGCCGATGCGGCGATCGCCGATCTGAGCACCGATTCCAGAGGATTCGGCGCGATTCCGCTCTCGATCCAGCTTCGCGATTCGCTGCTGGTCCTTGTTGCCTCCCCACTGCCTCACCCCCTTCTTCCTATTTATCCCCGTGCCGCCTTTCCGTGCTCCTTCCCCTCCCGCTCCCACCGCTGCTCCTCACCTGGTCCTGCTTTGGCCTGTGCTTCTCCAGCTGGAAGTGAGTTCCCCGTCAATATGGAAGCTGCGTCGTCGACGCTGCAAAACGTGTGGCAAGAGTGTGACGCAACGCATGTCGGGCCCGACGGGGCCAAGTCTCGCTCCTGCATCAACGCCGCGCGATGATTTCGAACTGTGCCAGAATTGATGATTGCAGCGGGGGCGCGCATCAAGAAACCAGATGTTGTTCGTCAGGGTGTCCCGGGTTTCTTTGCCCCGCGCGCTGCGCGGGGACTTCCCGCAGCCGTTGCAGGAGCTGCTGCGTTCACAGTGGTCCGTGTTGCCCCTCTGGTGCACCTCGCGAGCGGGTTTTCGGGGTTAGGTGTCTTGCAAGGGTTTCTTGCGGCCGCGCCCGCATTGTATGTTATGTAGAGGTTGGGGTCGGGCTTCACCCGCGGGTTCGCTCGATCTGGCGTGCTTGACTTCGTATGAATATTGCTCATCCGTCGTCTTGCTACTCGCGTTGCCACGCCATGGGCTCTTATTTGGCCCGCGCGTCTTCGCTGAAGGGGGCCAAGCCGGCGCACCACAAACATCAGCAGCACTGAGCGACCACTACAACTACTACCTTTAGTGCAAGCGTGCGTTTGGGTCATGATTGTATTTGCAGCAAGCATAACGTCGGAATCGAAGGAAACTTGTGACCGCGAGCGCCGCCCTCACTTCTGCCACTTTCTGAACTCAGTGGGTAGGTGGGATCGGTTGAGCTTCCACACGCTTGTGAAATATCTTCCGCAGGCAGTTGGGGCCGCTCCTGCTGCACTGAATCTCACAAGCCGCAATCAAGTTATGTTTTTTTGTGGGCCGTTCCAAACGTGTTCGTGGACGGCTGGGATCGGCTGCGGCTTTGGCATTACACGATTCAAAGTATGGCGATATATATATATAAACACACATATATACACACATA